ACTTCTAAAATTTTAAGGGTTCATATTAGAGCCATTAAAATGCATGCTTATCTTTGATCTGTAGTTTTAATAATTTACATTTCTAGAATCGTGAGAAGATTTGTTACAAGTTTCATGTTTACAGTTTTCATTTTTGACGAGAAATGAGCAAGTTACAGTTGGTCTGGCTGGAGGTTGAAGATGAAGTCTTCAGGGCGCATTTCGCCTTGTATATTTATTGTGTTGCTTATATTAACAGATGTATAGCCACCCCAGTGGTAGAAGCGCGCGCCTGTAACCTTTGGGACCTGGGTTCGATCCCTAGTGGTACCCTTTTGCATTTTTCACACATTTTGGCATTTCTGACCTTTTTTGAGCGCTTGTGCCTTTATTGGGCTTGCTTTGTTTCTTTATTTTTTTACTGACTAACCCCCTTTGCAGGCTTTTGGCACCCCTAGCCCAAGTTTATTTATTTCATTTTTATTTTCTTAAATATTTTTTTTCTAAATACTAAAAATCATAAAATACAAAAAAATAATAGATTTATATCTTGACTTATTTTATTTTATTTTTTTCCACAAAAAAAATATTTTTATTTATTATACTTATTTTATTAATTAATCTTGTAAACCTAATTAATATTATGTTTTTATTTATTTATTTTTCACACCATTAAAAATAGATTATTTTAAAAGGCCAAAAATATTTTATAATACTATAAATATTTTTAAGATAAAAATACTAAAAAAACTTTTTTTAAACTTATTTTCTTTTGATTAATTAATAGAACTAGGGTTTTACTTAAAATCTTTTCTTAATAAAATTCAAATTTAAATAATTATTTTATTTATTTAATTAGGTTAAGACAAAATCCCTTTTTCATGAAAATCAAACAAAGATACATTTTTTTACATTTTGCATATTTTGCACATTCATTCATTTTATACTTTGTATTTATGTATTTCCTTGTACATTGATATCAATTCAATATGGTTGTAATAGACTAATTAGGTTTAAATTCTTGCAATCCCCATTCATGAATTTGTATACCCCCCCCCCCCCCCCCCCCCCCCCAATCTTTTCTTAATAAAATTCAAATTTAAATAATTATTTTATTTATTTAATTAGGTTAAGACAAAATCCCTTTTTCATGAAAATCAAACAAAGATACATTTTTTTACATTTTGCATATTTTGCACATTCATTCATTTTATACTTTGTATTTATGTATTTCCTTGTACATTGATATCAATTCAATATGGTTGTAATAGACTAATTAGGTTTAAATTCTTGCAATCCCCATTCAAGAATTTGTATACCCCCCCCCCCCCCCCCCCCCCCCCCACAAATGTTGTAATAGCGTAGTAACTTTAAATTTCACAATTTATCGCTTTTATATAACATGCTAGTAATTAGGGTTTGAATAGAAAGACTAAAACCAATACTTAGAAAAACCTAATCCAAGACAAAAACAAGCATGAAAACAATACACTTGCACACAAGCACCCCTAGGGTTATTTTCCTTATACAAAATGGCCATATTACGCATGTAAGGTATCTTAGCAAAAACAAGCAAATACAAGATCATAGTCCCTCGATGATGCTATCTGAGTTGCCTTACAAATGATCTTAGTCCCTCAAAAAGAATGCTAAGATACCTTACAACATTGCTAATCATGGTTATACGATGACCCACGCCCGTCCCGTTTATATCCAAAGATAGGGTTGCTTACCAAATCAATGGTAAGACAACAATGTCAAAAGAAAAGAAAATGAACAAGAAAGACTTCTGAGTAGGTAGAATGCTCATAATTACTTGCTCCATTTTAAAACAAACATCCATGCTATTTCCTAAAAAAACACCTACACTTTTCAAACATCTTACAAACATGAAAACATTTTCAAAAGATCAAAATTCTTTGTATACATTCTTACAAACAAGAATCATTACAAAGATTTCCTAAACAATGGCCTCTTTACAAAATACTTTCAAAAACCACACCGAGCATAATTTCAAACAAAAAACAAGTGATCTAGAAAGTAACTAAGATCCCATGGGAAACCATGGATGAAAAGGGTGCTAATACCTTCCATTTTCATAATCTACCCCCTGAACTCAAGAAATAATCTCAAAGGTCTTTCCTGTGCTTTTTCACCTTTCCTTTTGGTTAAAAGAAAAATCGGTGGCGACTCTTGCTAACTGGAACATTTACGATCAAACACAAAACCTACAAGTCAGTTCTCCCACCGTATCACACTACACTTTGAATGTGTTGCAAACTATGATGCAGGTCCAGTTTCTTGCACATAAGCGTGTACCAATGTATTAACGTGCCTTCTTAATATTTGGCAACTTTTGGTGAGTGCATCGTGATTCCTGTAAGTGTGGCACGATTACAGTGATGCGCTTTTGATTCGGCAGTAGCAGGTTTATAATGATGGACCAACTTAACATTTTTCTAACTCTTATGCAAATCATTAAACAACTATGGAAGTATGAGGTTTGAGAAGGTGTCTTGGACCAAGGAGCATGGACGTTGGTTTCAACTAAGCACAAGTTTGGAGGCTTACTTGGATAGGAATTAGGGAGTAGGTTTATTCAAGATTTCTTTGAAGCACAACATGTTATGGTGAGGAAATCTGATGTGGTAGGCTTAGTATTGCGATGAGCAGGGCGCAACATGGACACGAAGGCTTAATGCGAGGCATGATCTCATGGCCAAAGGATAGATAAAAATTAAACTTTGCAGATTAAGATAGGCTTAGAATTTGGTTTTTTCAACTTATTGTGTTTGTATGTGACTTGAATGAAACTTATGGATTCCATGTATATTTCTTATGAATAGCTTATAAATTGAACCATGTTTCTCTTATAATTTCAAAAATTTCCTTTTGTACAAGCTTCAAATTGTAACCTTTAAATATATCATGGATGATATCGCATGCTTGCCACTTTGAATGAACCTTGATAGCAATTGACGACCCATTATGATTTATCATGAAAATGAATGAAGTAGGTTAGAACTTGAATGATGGATGCGGTGTGATGATGTAATGGCATTGAAGGTGGAAACTTGAAGAATTTTTGTTGGAAATTTTTAATAGAATTTGTGTGACGAATAAAGATGCATCAAGTGAACTTGAAACTTGAACAAGGCCTTTGTCTTTTAATTCTATTACTTCTAAATGAACAAATCTTCCAAATTTAGAATATGAATCTGATTTGTCAAATTTGTATCTTGTATACTACATGAGTGGATTTCCATCATTAACCTTGAGTCAAACCCGAACATGTCTTGCAATTAGAACTTGTGGTCTATCCTTGAACCTTTAGCTTTAAATTCTTAAGATTCAAAGTTATCTCGCCGTTGAAATAAAAAAAAATCTTAATCAAAATGAATCCATCAAATCACTTTTGTACCGTAGCTCACACTTTGTATCTCAACCAAATATAATCTTGCTAAATAAAAGCAACACGTCTTTTAGAAAATCCTTTGATGAAGCTCAACCCTAATCTAGCGAGTCTCAATTGATGAACCAACTACACACAATGAATGTGAAACCAATGAATAACCAAACCCTAATTCCATGATCTTTGAAGAAGAAACCTCAATTGGAGCACAATAACTGCGAAACCACAACTTTGATCACATATAGGTAAGTAAACCCTAATCCATAATCCAGTAGAATCTCGAGAGGAAGTCTACAATGTTAGGGAAATAAACCCTAAATCGCGATTCCTGAATCTCAGTTGAAATCAATCTTAGAGGTGCATAACCATTTAAACCATGTGAAGCCTTAGCTCGCATAGTAACTAAACTTTGAACCTCATGGTACTTTATTGAAATGCAAATGTATGTACTTGGTGTTCAACGTATAACAAATCCAACCAAATTTTTGAAATACAAAGTGCTAAGTTTTTCACCCTTCCTCAATCCACAAAAGTCATATAGATCCTATATTGAATGTAATTTCATGTATTTGCATTTTCTACCTAGAAGTGCATAGTAATATTTTTTTTCTTGTTAAACATGACTCTTGTCATCTTTTAAAGAGATTTTTGTTTTTTTCTACAACTTCATTTTATTGTAAAGTTATAGAACAAGACAAGAGACACATGATTCAGTTAAGAGTATAAATACAATACATCAATAATTAAGAGACATTAGACAATTATTCTAATATTAAGAAGGGTTTTTTGCGATTACATTAGAGCTAAAAATTATTTAATGTATAAGAGAGGCATTTTTTACATTAGAAAGTGAGTGAATGATTTTCTATTTGTTACATCTATAAAATTTCAACCCCAAACTTTGTTTAAAATATAGACCAATTTCACTTTGGTTTTGTGTAACGAAAGGTTAGATAAGAAGTGGAAATATTGAAAGGTTGGTATAACGAAAGGTTAGATAAGAAGTGGAAATATTGAAAGGTTGGTAAAGCATAATGCTTCTATCTAATTAAGATCAAGTGATCAATTGCTTAGCTAAAGAGACAAATGTGACACATCACCATACTTTATTTACATAGGGAGTTTTACTATATAAAATGATTCAACAACTTTCTTGTTTAATCTAAATGTTGAAAAACATAGATGGCTAAATTTCTCAAATTTGTTTATGCTATACTTTTTCTTTCCTTGTGTCTTACTTTATTTCAGATTGTTGGTAAGCCTTTATACTTATTTTCATATTTTTTTTCTTTACTACATACATAATTTTTCTATTTTTCAGTAACTTTTCTTTAATCTTATTTTACATTACAGCATGTGACTGTGTTTCCGATTGTGAAGCCATGTATAGGTGTGAGTCTCCAAATAGAACTATGAGGTGTTTTATGTATGTATGTGTGTGCTGGTGGTAACAGTTAAGTAACAAATAATTATTCTTGAGTTAGTATGATAGCATAAACATTTGAAGTAGTGTATATTGAAAATTGAATTATCATCCATCATATCATGTGATACTAACCATCACTTTCTGAAAATTGCAGATTGTATTCTATATGGTCATGAGAAGCAATTAGTAGAGTTTCACAGTGAAAGCTGAGTAGAGGGTTGTAACAAATAATCTCTTCATCTTCTTTGTAAGCATAGTCATCCACACTGTCATAGTAATCCTCCTCATATTCTTGATGGAAACAAAGTTAGTACCTTGATAGGAGACAAAATTTGCTCCAATTTCCATTCCTTGATTGGGTTTCATTTTTAAGTACACCGGTCCATTAAAGTGTAGGTTCAAAAGTCCGTTTTAAATAGTAGAAGGGGTGTATATATTGAGTCATTGGGCTTAGCTTGTCAAAATAACTAAGTCAAATCTATTTCATCTTATGTGGTCCAATAGTAATGGAGGTATGATGTTAATAAAGGTGTGTGTTTTATTTTAGGCTCTGTGTTTCAAGATCGGCCCATCATTTTGTTTTTAAAAGCCCATTAGCTTCTTCTTTTTTTATTTGACCGAGCTTTTTTTTTTCATTTTTGTAATTGTTAGTTTTTTTTCTAAATTATTATTTAGTCATTATGATTATTATTATTATTATTATTATTAATATTGTTATTATTTTTGTCAAATATTTTATTTTTAGTTTAGATTTTTGTTAATTAATTTGTCTTTAGGGATTAGATTAACCGAATCAATGTCAAAATTAGGGTTACCCTAATCCCCAACGGCGATGTTCTTGTTCTTCTTCGTTAAACAATGCCTAAGGCCCAGAGGCACAAACTAAAACAAATCGTTATGAAATCAAAGATTTACGGGAACAAATCACAATATAATCAAATCATTAATAATCGAATCAAATCTTTCAATTTACAAACGGAATCAAACCCTAATTTATAAATACTATCAATCAAATATCAATCCTTACAAATTGAATCCTTAATTCTATCAAGCTCTAATTCTAATAAAAATCAACCATAACAATTTTCCTAATCTGTCTAATTCTAAAACTCTATAAAACCCTAATTCTAAAATTGAACAAGATAGGAAAAATTAAGCAAAAAAGAAAGAGGAGAAGTATAATATTGTTCCAAGCCTTCATCTCCCTCGGAACGCTTCCTTCGCCCAGGTCTAGGGTTTCTGAACAGAAACCCTAAGATCTTTGTTCCTCAGTCGCTGCTGCGCCATTCACTGTACCTGTAAACAGAAGAGGAGATCAGAACAAAACAGAGCGAAATCGGAAGAATATACAAGGAGAAATCACGGTAAGCCTTTAAATCCTTAAATTTAGGGTTTCGTAGCTGTAATTTTTTGCTTGATTTGGGGTTCGAGGGTTGATTTAAGGTGGAGACTGGGTAGATTTAGGCTGTCGTTTAGGGTTTGGGTGGCTGGGTTATGGGATCTCATGGGTTGTTGTTGATGTTGGAGAGAGGTGAGAGAACGAAAGAGAAGAAGAACAGAGTGAGAGAGAGAAAGCCGAAGAGAAATGAAATGAAAAATGAAAAGAAAACAAAGATATAACTCGGCATGATCAGGTACGCCTCCCGTACCATGGACACTCGTTCCCTGTCCCTTGGATCATGATCAAACTCCCCAAAACCACATGCTCTCCGTAATCCCATGCACTAGCCACACACGATCCAACGTGCCTCTATCCATTTCAATTTGGGGCCAAGCTCAATCGCTAATCGCACACCCTTATTTACTGTGTAATTAAACAAATGTACGTCCCCCTCCTGCGCTATTGGGCCAAGTTCAATATTTGGACTTGGGACCTTGCTTCATGTACCCCTAGTTTTACTACCCAGTTTACGCTTACACCGCCTGCGTTTTGGGCCTAAAACCAATATCTGGATTTAGGGCTCTATTATTTACACCCCCAGAATTACTAGCCAAACTAATTTTGCAACCCCCCTGCGTTTTTAATTAAAATTAATTTATTTTTATAACTTTATTTATTTATTCATTTGTTTATTTATTTATTATATTTTTTGCATATTAATAAACATTGGACATATTTAAATATTTAATGTGTTTTTAATAAATTCTAAAAAATTTTACTTTTTAATTCAAATTCTTTTTCAAATACTAACTCATTTTTTAATACTTTTAATTGCATTAAATTCCTTTTTCTCATGCATTAAAAATATTATTTTCCATATTGCACAATATATTCGAAAACATCTAACCGACAAATTACTAATAATTTTCTACTAACTTAATTCAAACTTATATATATTTTCAAAAAAGGATTATGAAGATATTTCTTATTAACTGCGAACTTCGAATACAAATTCTGCTATCACACACCTAAATTTGGTTCAAGGAGAATTCGAGATATTTCTATAATTCATAAAAAATACCAACCAACAACTACGAACTATGAATTGGGACTTTGATTCCTCATAAGAGGATACGTAGGCATACGACTTAAAAATCGTGGTGAGTTCCCCTAACTAAAAAATTAAAACCTTATTCCTAAACCTTAAACCTAAACCTTAGTATCCTTGTGAACAAGGTAGATGAAGGGTGCCTAACACCTTCCCTTCGTATAAAACGAGTCAACAACTTAGAATCTCTGATTAAATTAGGGTTATCTGTTATATTTCCTTCCCTAGGATAAAAATTAATGGTGACGAATCTATATTTTAAATCGGTTATTACACATTCCAATGTAAATAACATGTTGGTTGGGTGAAGATGTCTCATCAAACGATAGTAGCATTGATACCCTTACTATTTCTACATGAGAAATGATTGACATCGACCCCACTATAGTGTTCCTGTAGTTGAATTTCGATCCTATCACCTGGTTCATCTAGCATCAAAGAAATATGTAATCGCGAGTGATAGTTGAAGTTATAGTCGGCACGTTAGAAGGATTTTCAAACTCTTATTTCATTTCTAAAGCGAAGCACACGAATAGCTCTCTAATGTTGTACTAGTTAAGAAATGCCCTAAGAAGCAAGGATGTACATGTAGATTATACACACCTCAATAGAGCACACTTGAAAGATCCCAATTCATTTCCTAACGGAGACATGTGGGTAACCAACTCAGCCACCAACATGCCATCGTCAGTCATCAACATTTACTCAAAGTGCGGCTAGACATGTATGTTCATACATGATAGAGAGAAAACGTTATTCATGATCAACTGAATCAACTACAAGCATGTTGAACGCATGGTCATACTCCTCATACAGGGTTGTGCAGACGCGATATGCAAAAATATGACAGATAACGTTGGCTGACAAGAAGCGAGGATAACCCTAGTGGCATACCAAAACTCATATTATTTTAAAGATAAAATGATCTCTAGGCAGTCGGAAGCATACTCCTTTGAGCTAATTTTCCGAGGAATGCACATTAATATCCCCAAGCTACGAAGTTAATTGGGGAAGAAATCAATGAAAAGTTGCACACATTGTGTACCTGCATTTCCCTCGACAAGATAAATATCCCTCGGGGATCTTAGAAATTTGAATAAGTAAATATTATAACTAAAATAAATATTGCACATATGAATATTATTATAACTTGTACCAGTATGGCATATACTATGTTCATTAAGCATGTCCCCCACTTGGAGAAACGCACTTAAAGTGCATTTGACACACCCTCTCTTAGGAAATAGCCACTCTAAAAACTTAGGTGGTGGAGCCCTATAGACCTCCACCCTGAACTAGGAAAAAACATGGGGGAAGGGACAAGAACCTCACCTTCGCCTGGGGATAATTCCTAGTGACACTGAAGAATAGCATAAACTATTCTTGACGAAAACTAGTAGCGACTAAACTTAATTGTTATTCTTATTCACACTTGTGAGGACTATAGAATGCAGTAAAAAAGCCAAATCTGATTAGTAGGATAGGTAATAAATTTCATCAAAGACCTAAAAAGGATATAATCAATGGGAAAAGACAACTTACAGAAAAAATAGGTTCAACCAGGGGAAGTGAAGGAACCACAAACGTGTTTAAAGCTCGTAAAACAAACTGATCACAATCAATCTAATAAAGAATAAAAATAGTGAATAAAAATTAATAAATCACATTGTACACAAAGAAAGCATCAAAAGGAAAGGTAAATGCATAAATAACATTGTTCATACAGGTAACAAGGAAACATAAGTGCACAAAAACTTATTCATATTACAAAATTAAAAAATTAATAAAAGAAAAAGAAAGTGAAACCTCTCTACCTTGAGACATTGCATCGAGGTCCCCAGCCAAGGCCCTATCCAGAACAACCATGAACAATCAAGTTTCGAGCAGAGGAATATATATATATATATATATATATATATATATATATATATATATATATATATATATATATATATATATATATATATATATATATATATATATATATATATATATATATATGTGTGTGTGTGTGTGTGTGTGAGTGTGTGTGTGTGTGTGTGTGTGTGTGTGTGTGTGTGTGTGTGTGTGTGTGTGTGTGTGTGTGTGTGTGTGTGTGTGTGTGTGTATTCAGAAGAAGTTTTTCCATATGGTTAACTGCTCGATCAAAGGCCACATAAATATTCTTAAGATTTTGTTGGAGGGACTCACCGACCTTCTTCTCAGCTTATTCACCTGATCATCATGTGCCACACGGTCTTAGCACAAGATTCCTTCACCTGTTAAAGATCTTTCAAAGTTTCATTGGCATGAGACTTCATCTCAACGGCAATAGCAATTGTATCTATTCCAGACTTCTTCACTGTCTCCAAGGAGGATTCGAGTTCAGCAATCCGGGCATCTAAAGAAGAAGGAGAGCCATGAATTTTTGCCTTTTCCTAATGAGCCTCAACACGGCTAGCCTTCTCTTAAAATATAAAATTTCGTCATGAAGCTTAGACCATTTATGTTCCATAGCTTTAGACTACCCTTTTAGTCATCCCTCTCTTTGGAAGGATTTCCCATGGCTAAAACGTCCCCCTAGCCAGCAATGACCAGGGAGAATAAAGAAGTAGTCTAGAAATTGTAGAATGTGGCGTTTGAGAAAAGCTTCATCTTCCACGCCTCAAGGAGATTTTGAAGGTAATTCATATCCTCTTAAGACATAGCTGATCCGACTTCCCAAGGAGTGTGGGGAATTTGATCAGGTAGAATAGTCGACAACTTCATAAGAAAGGTGGTTAACCCTGAAGTGGCACCCCTGAACAACTGAGTTAGTTTAGTTAATTCTTCCTCCAAGACAGGACTTTCATATTGGTCGCTATCCTTTTTTTCTTTGAAATAGGAGACCGAGACCGG